GTAATAATTTTTTAGTATAACAGGAGACTGAGGTAGGAGGTCTAGGAATTTGGGACCACCCCAGGCTACATAGTCACTCCAAGACCAGCCTGAGTATAGGGTCACCCTGCTCCTTCCCCAAAAGTTCTAGCACAAGCAGATGCACATCTGTTTTGTGTAGCTGGAGATCAAATGAATATGTATAAATGAAAATGAACTATGAAGCTGATATATTCTCATAAGTCAATACCATCATTCCTGAAGATTACTGGCTCCCAATAGATACCCTACCTAACTCACTCTTGGGTCCTTAAACAAGACAACAATGCATTGAAGTCTGCATATTCTAGGTAGTTCTGACTGCAGCAGCCCTAGAAAGGTAGTAATCTAAGTAAAGAAACACATCATGGGGCTGGAGAGATGGCTCAGCGGTTATGATCCCTTGCTGTTCTTCTAGAGGACCCAGGTTCAATCCCCAGTACCCACATGGTGGTTTACAACCATTCCTAACTCCAGTTCCACAGGATCCAATGCCCTCTTCGGGACTCCCAGATAACAGGCATGCATATGGTACACAGACATACATGCAGTCAAAACACTCATACACATAAAATAGAAATACATCTTTAAAACATTCTTTTATATTTATTTGTGAGTGGAGGGGGGAGGGGAGGGAGGGGAAGGAGTGGGAGGGAGGGAGAGAGGGAAGGAGGGAGGGAGAGAGAGAGAGGGAGGGAGGGAGGGAGAGGAGAAGGGAGGGAGGAGGGAGGGAGAGGGGGAGTGTGTGTTGGGAGAGATCGATCCTTCTTCTATGTGGGCCCCATAGATCCAATTCAGGTCATCAGGTTTGGCAGCAAGCACCTTTACCTCTTGAGGCATCTCACCAGCCCACTAGACTTCTCTTGACTTGATCCAAGGAGGGCATTCTTTATTTACCAGTCCCAAAGGTGGGTTTATTCTTAAGCTGTATACAGTCACTTATTTGACTCTCCAAGAAAATTGACCACTGAATGACAGTTTCCGGGTGAAGGACACAGGCTAAGATTGATTCCATTCTTAAATAAACAGCAAATAAATGCTTTTTTTTATTTTTAAATCTGTCTATCTGGGACACTAAAATGAAGCTCTGAACATTGAAAGACACCGTAGTATCACAGATACATGACCGTTTAAGACCTTACCGTTTGTCCCAGCACCTCAGCTTATCCCATTAGGTAATTTGTCAAATGATACTTTGTGTTTTTCCTTAATATGACGCTTGATTATAACTGTCTAAGAAAAAAGTTTCCAAGAATGTAGGAAAGTAGGAATTCAAGAAGGACTGACAATCAATCTGAGATCATGCCTAAAGGATCAGGTGTGCAGGAGGGCTACTGAGGCTATGCAACTGATGCCGAGTACACGATACAAATATTAAAGCCATCTTGGATGCCGCAAAAACACAGGCAAGAAGAGCTGCTTCCCCAAACAAATATTTTTATTATCCTGCTAAAAAAGACTCAGTATAAAGTGCTCAAGTATTCCTTCATGTGTAAGAGATTAAGAGGGGCAATACAAAATAGTGAACGGCTTTGTCAGTAAGAATGGTGAAAGCAATGATACAAATGACTTGGCCGTGACTAAGTCAATCTGGAGACACAGATTCTACCTTTAAGAAAGACGTTTGTGCCGGGCGGTGGTGGCGCACGCCTTTAATCCCAGCACTCGGGAGGCAGAGCCAGGCGGATCTCTGTGAGTTCGAGGCCAGCCTGG